TCTCTCTCTCTCTCTCTCGTATTCTATTACTGCATCTTGCAAACTCGGCCATTCTGGATGTCACTAACTCGGCTTCTTCTCCGGAGCCTTTGTGCTCCACTGTCTCTCAGATTAACTCATATCGCAGCGGTGCCTGGACAGCGTGACTTGTGAGGCTGTGCTGCTGCCGTGGTCCTGCCAGATGCCTCCTGCTGCTGCTGCTGCCATCATTAGTCATTAGTCATACTTCTACTGTTATTATACACATATGACTATTGTCACACATGTATACTGTCAGATATTAATACATACTTTCAACATATTGTACCACAGTAGCCAGAACTATAACTATAATATTATTACTTTCATTAATGATGTTGTAAGCTACTGTCATTACCTGCATCTCTCTCTCTCTCTGTCTCTCTCTCTGTCTCATTGTGTCATATGGATTACTGTTAATTTATTATGCTGATCTGTTCTGTACGACATCTATTGCACGTCTGTCCGTCCTGGAAGAGGGATCCCTCCTCAGTTGCTCTTCCTGAGGTTTCTACCGTTTTTTTTTTCCCTGTTAAAGGGTTTTTTTGGGGGGAGTTTTTCCTGATCAGCTGTGAGGGTCATAAGGACAGAGGGATGTCGTATGCTGTAAAGCCCTGTGAGGCAAATTGTGATTTGTGATATTGGGCTTTATAAATAAAATTGATTGATTGAATTGATTGATTGACCATGTTTCTACATTTATAAACCTTTAATATTACGACACAGTCTCCATGCTGTGATCAGATGTTCTGGTTCATATGCTTCAGTTAATTTAACTTCAGCCTGTTACAGATTCTACAGATATGAGACGTTAGAAGATTCTACAGGAAGTGACATCACAGTGAGCTCAAACACCGGCACTGTGTCTGTGTGACAGAGTTTAAATCAGTTTATTTAACAGGTTAAAATCATAAATCTGTCTTAGAGGACATTTTGTCTTTGTCCTCTGGTCTGTCAGATCTCACCCTGAGGTCAGACGACAGATATAAACGTGTAAGAAAACACAGAGTTGAGATGTGATGTGTGGGAGTCGACAGAGCGTGTCACCTGCCATACAGCAGCTCCTCACCACTTCCTGTTCCACTTACAGATGACACCAGAAGAAGAAGAAGACGAGCGTTTGGTTCAGTTGACTGAAAATGGAGCTCCAGACGTGGACGTGTGTCCTCCTGCTGCTACTTGCCGCCACTGTACCTCTGGCAGGTAGGACGACTCAAATGGTGTATAACCTTGTGTTAAAGATTCAAAGATGTCTCCACTTCCTGTCTCACTGCTTCACCTCCAACTTTAGTTATGAAACCTTTGAAATTAAGTTTATCACAAACAGGAAGAAAAATTAAATTTAAATACGACTCATTATGTTTTAAATAACTTTATGGCGAGATGTTTAAGATAAATGCAGCTGCTGCTGAGACGGCGTGACTTCGTCCTGACACGTCTCTGAACATCACAGGAACTTTACCTGCTCTGAAAACATCACAAACATTAGTCTTAAAGTTAAGTTAATATATATTTAATAAGCTGTGTGAACTTTGATTAAAGGGGGGAAACTGCTCTGAGGTCTCAAACGATCGAAACAACAACGACAGCAGAGGTAGCAGGTTGGTGTCGGCCATGTTGGAGGATGGAGGATGGCGGCTGGCGTCTCAGCTCCAATCCGCTGCTGCTGCTGTCGTTAAACCTCCATCTGACTTTAAATCTTCAGACACATTTTTACTGACGGAACATGTTGACAAACCACAGACTGAGTGTTTCAGAAGTTTCAGACTCAAACTGTGTCAGAGGAAACGCCGCAGCCCGCCTTCGTTACCCAACGTTCAGCTGCTGTGATCTGCACTCAGTCAGCAAACACAATTTATTAATGGAACCAACAGAGGAAACTACTGGGTTTATTCTGTAGTTGCAGGGTTTATAGATTTAACTAAAGCATGTGACACCATGAAACCATGAGCCATGACATAGCACTGACAAAACTGTGTGAGACACAGGCAGCTGTTTGTGAGACATAACTGTGGGGTCCCACAGGGGTCAGTGTTGGGACCATAAATGATACGTGTGTATGGTGTCCAGGAAATTAAAATGAGTTTTATTGGCAGATGACATCAACGCTCTGTGTTTCCGCAGCAGCGTTTAAAGTGAAGTGATTTGTGGAACAAGCTGAGCACAGATTTTAATCAGTTTTTATTGTTGTCAGATATATAGACGAGGAGGAGGACAGGTTGTGTTATTGATTGTGTGGAGGTTCCTGCACTGGAAATAAACTGGGTTCATTACTGGTTTATTTAAACAGACTGGGGACGGTTTTACATCAGTTGTAAATAAACCTGTTGACATAGAACATGAGTTAAAAGAAGAAATGTCAGAACGAGGCAGCAACTCTTCAGATCACCTAAACATAACACCAACAAATCATTTCAGACATCGACTTCCACAGTTTGAAATATGACACAGACGTCACGCTGTGATCAATAAATCCGGGTATCAGAGCAGTGTGTGAGTGTTGATATGTTTCAGTGTGTCAGACGTCCTGAGTGCACCTGTGGATCCTCTGCGCGCTCTGTGCTGTTCATTATGAAACTAACACAGGCTCCGCCCCCTCTGTGACCTCATGAAGGACGTGATGACCCACCTGTATTTATAACAGATGTGAAGATAAATCCTGTCACATGTTACAGGCGTGTTTCTCAGACACATGTGCAACAGCTCAGTGTTCATCTCATATTTTATACATGTGTGTCACAAATTCAGTTTTGACTTTTAAACTCCTGTCAACGTTTGTTTACCTTTAAAACCTGATAAACATTAAAACAACATGTCAGATGAGCAGAGAAGCGTCAACAGCTACAGACATTAAAGTGTTTTTATTTACACAGAAATTAACAACAACAACAGTAATAATAACAATAATTTACAGAAACATTTTGTTCAGAGAAAATGTCCAGTGAAATATTAGAATAAGGGGATTTTTAAGGGGGTTTCAGGGATTTATCCCGTAAAATAAATAATGAGATTAAAGGCCATTAAGTGACTGAGAAACATCTCGAAACACCTTTAACCTGAGAGATAAGGGTCTTTATAAGGGTAAGTTTGAACTCTGTAAAGTGCAGTTCAGACCAAAGATCGGTGACAAGATTAAATGTTACAGAGAAACGTTACAACAGTGTTTTTACAATGTAATAGAACCTTACAGAGAAACGTTACAGCTGTGTTTTTACAACCTAACAGAAAGTTACAGCAATGTTTTTACCACGCAACAGAACGTTACAGAGAAACATTACAGCTGTGTTTTTACAGCATTACAGAACGTTGCAGAGAAATGTTACAGCGATGTTTATACAACGCTACAGAACATTACAGAGAAATGTTACAGCTGTGTTTTTACAACGTTCTGTAGCTTTGTATAAACATTGCTGCAACGTTTCTGTGTAACGTTCTGTAGCGTTGTATAAACACCGCTGTAACGTTTCTCTGTAACGTTCTGTTATGTGGTAAAAACATCGCTGCAACGTTTCTCTGTAACGTTCTGTAGTGTTGTATAAACATAGTTGTAACGTTTCTCTGTAACGTTCTGTAACGCTGTAAAAACACCGCTGTAACATTTCTCTGTAACGTTCTGTTATGTGGTAAAAACATTGCTGCAACGTTTCTCTGTAACGTTCTGTTACGTGGTAAAAACACCGCTGTAACATTTCTCTGTAACGTTCTGTTATGTGGTAAAAACATTACTGCAACGTTTCTCTGTAACGTCCTGTTATGTGGTAAAAACACCGCTGTAACACTTCTCTGTAACGTTCTGTAATGTTACAGAGAAACGTTACAGCGGTGTTTTTAAACGTTACAGAACGTTACAGTTGTGTCCTGTTTAAACTCATTGTGAATCTTTATTTTGAATTCAAACTTGCAAAGATTAAAAGTTATGTTCAGTTTACATCAAACAGGAAGTGAATTTTCTCGTTATCGTGTTACCTGTAGAAGTTTGTACTCTACAGTGTTTTGTGTTGACTCACTTCATACGCACAAATGACATCATATGTGTGTTTATAATTGCTGGATCGATGAGTGAACTCCCACAGGTCAGCGTCATACGTTCCCAGAGTATGTCAATGCTGATTGGCTATCGTGGTGTGAATCAGTTGCTGAAGTTCAGCGCTCTCACGAATAACTTTAGGATGTGAAATCACGCTACTCGCTTTATACTTAAGTATTTTGTGTCATTTGCATCGCATCAGTCGCAGAGCTTGGTGGGTAATCGCAGTGTCGTCTGTGAACAGAGGAATCTTAGCTGGGTTTATAACAACAGGAACGGATCCCTGTGGGACACCGTACTTTACTGAAGGTGAAGCTGAGTATTATCTCATAACAACTGTTTCACTTCAACTTCTACAAATGGAGGGACAGAGGATGGACCACAGCCGCCCTGAGTGGGCTCCGATTCACATACCAAGACTTTCAGGTGCTCTGAAGGAGCGCCCTCAGAAAAGGAAATATACAGTGATAAAATTAGTTCTAAAAATAAATAAATAAGTAAATAAATAAGTGAATAAATAAATTAATAAGTAAGTAACTAAATAAACAAGTAAATAATAGTGGAAGTGAAGTGATACTTGAGTCTGACGCAGCTGTGATGACTCGACCACGAGCAGCGAGGCATCATCGGTTCAGGAAGCAGCTGTGTGGTTTGTCTTTAAAGCTGTGATCATGTGATCATGTGACCCGGGCTGCGGTCTGACTGAAACAAAAAGAGATGGTGGTTTTGGTCGTTGTCATGGAGACGAAAGCTGCTGCTGAACTCAGAACTGGTTCACACCTTGTTAAAGATTAATCATGTTCAGTCTGTTAGACTGTGAGTGTATCTGTCAACCCGCTGCGTCTGCGATAACAACCGAACACTGATGAGACGTGAAGCCCAGCGATTTAACCAGAGAGGAGGAGGAGGAGGAGGAGGAGGAGTCTGAGGTGGTGTCCTGGATTTGACTTCAGGTGTTTGACTCTGAAACCACTGACACAAACTGACACTTTTCTTAAACCTCCGTCAGCTGTTCACGATGATGATTTACCCTTAAAATGACCCTTAAATACATGTTTGGCAGAGAGGTGGGTAAAGTCTCAGTTGGGCCTTCTTGACCAGAGTAGCAGAGTTGACAGACCACTTGAGGTCCTCGCTGACGTGGAGGCTCAGGAATTCAAAGTTGGGCACCCTCTCCACCTCCTCTCCCCCTACTGTCAGTGGCAGGAGCTCATCCTGATGTTGTCTGAAGTCTGTAATTAGCTCCTTTGTCTTCTTGATGTTGAGAGACAGGTTGTTGTCTGCACATCACACAGTCAGTCTCTGCACCTCATCTCTGTAGGCGGCCTCACTGCCGTTTGAGATGAGCCTCACCACTGTTGTGTCGTCAGCGAACTTGATTATTGAGTTTGTGGGGTGAGCTGGTGCGCAGTCATACATGTAGAGGAGGGGACTCAGTACGCAGCCTTGTGGTGCGCCAGTGCTGAAGGTCAGGGTCGAAGAGTTGCGAGTGCCCAGTTTCACTGATTGTGAGCGGTCGCTGAGGAAGCCCTTAATCCACAGGCAGAGTTGGTTGCTGAGACCCAGGCCTCGCATATTTGTGACCAGCCTGCTGGGGACAAGGTGTTAAAAGCAGAACTGTAATGAACAAAGAGCGGCCCCAGAGAGGATCCCCCCTCAGTCCCTTCAGAGATCACTCTGAGGAGACTAACCTTTGGGTCTGCTGTGGGACACATTTTCTCCAGCACCTGACTGAACTGGGAGGAGCCCACTGAGCTGTTACTGTGGGGTCTGTAAATATTGTATAACTTTACATTTAACCGCTTGTCAGATATTATTCCAGAACCAGTCGTCACATGTTCCTCATTACAGGTGTCAGGGGATAAGAGTTCATTTATCTGTCAGCTGTAGTTTGTTCAGAGTATCTGAGAGGGATGAACTTTACTGATTACTTTTCTATCCTCAGTTTGTATTTCTGTGAGGAACCTGTTGAATCTGTTGAACTTAGTTTTTCAGTGTTTCCTTCTGTTGTTGTGGTAAATGTCTGAAGAGTTCAGATGTTGGGAAAATGACCTCCTGTCTCTTATTCGTTAAAATGATCTGTAGGATCTGATGTCAATAATTATGTTCGTGTTCAGACCATTTTTAAAGCGTGTGGCTTATATATAAAACTCTTATGACAGACTTTACTGGTCAC